GCTTTGACACAAACGCCGACCAAACCTAACGACAGGCCAGTGCTTCCGATGATGGCCTTCGGGTTCACTTTGGACTCGATTCGTGTCAAAACAAATCGATTAATCAAAGTCTTCGGTCCGTTGAGTAGTCTCGCGATCCATACATTCTTCGAGGTGTAGAGCAAACGTGTTTCCGGGTTTGCAATAATGCGGGTCTTGAGGTCAGCCGACACGGAGTGCCACGCGTTGTACGGCTGACCCGACGTTCGCGACAGAAGGACGCGAAACAACACTTTGGTCTTCGAGAGAGTCGACCAAAACATGGATTTGAACGAAACGCCAGACCTTAAGAGTCGCGACTCTTTCAGCAGACCATCGGTTGTCCGAAACAACGATACAGACATCGATCGCATTGTCGATCACTTTGTCATTCAATTCCTATACAAATCACTAATAATTTCTATATCTTTGACAAAACCATTAAATCATTACTTCTTTTCATTTCAAATGCAAACAAATATTTTGTTTTCGTTTTAGTGTTGAAAACATTTTCTATATTTAGAGAGATTTTATCGCATTATTACGCAATTGTGTGGACCCGGGGGTGGGGTTTTTTGGGGGTGTTGTGGGGGTCTATGTTTGGGGCAATTATTTGTATGCATTTTGTTATGCAATAAATGCCAAACTCTGGCCTCAATTCACAGACACATCTGAGACATAGGTTTGGGACGTCTTTAATGAACACAAAATAGTGTTGTAAACAAAATAAATATATTTTTCACATAAAAAGTACATTAAAATTGAGAGGAAGTTATGCTTTGGTGAAGGGTTTGGACGCTTAGAAGCGCTTGTTATGAGAATAGGGGGCAAAAAGGGGGACAATATATGCGTAAAGCAGTGAAGAGAGTCGTAAAGTCTGCGAACGTTTTGAGCGAATGATTGAACAAAAAAGTCGTCAAAACAACAAAATTGAGGAAAAAATAACTTTTTTTGTTAAAAATAAACGAAAAGTTTTTGAAACAAAAGGATTGAAAAGTTGTGTGCATTTTTGGAACCGATTGGAAGTGATCTGAAGACTGAGTGACAATGAAGTTGACGATCACAACGATGAGTGATCTCGTGTTTTCGCTGGAAGTGTCCGAAGACATGGAAGTGGAAAACCTGAAGGCGTTGTGTGAATACGAGTCGGGAATCAATTGTAAACAAATGGTTGTTATGTTCTCCGGGAAGCCATTACTCGAAGACAAACACGACCTCAAGAGTTATGGCATCAAAGATGGAGACATTCTTCTCATTCAGAAGATGTTGGGAACTGAGGGACAACTCATGCAATCGAGCGCTCAATCGTCACAGTCTTCGCCTCTTCTGCCAGATTTCAGCTCAATTTCGATCCCATCTGTGAGTCAGAGGACGAACTCAAGCGCTTCATCACCGCAACAGATCCGCGAGACGTTGCTCTCGAATCCGGAACAGATCGCACGCCTCAAAGTGAATAATCCACAGTTGGCTGAAGCCCTCGAAGCAGGTCTTCCGCAGTTCACGAAAGTACTCGAAGAGCAGCAGAAGAATCGATCGGACGCTGAGAGGCGCCGAATCCGAATGCTTTTAGCGGATCCGTTCGACTCAGAGGCCCAGCGAATGATCGCCGATGAGATCAAACAGCAACAGATCGACAACAATATGGAGACAGCGATGGAGTATTTGCCCGAAAGCTTTGGTCAGGTTTTGATGCTTTATATTGACTGCAAAGTGAATGGCTTTCCGATCAAAGCGTTTGTCGATTCTGGCGCTCAGTCGACGATTATGAGCAAAGCCTGCGCCGAGAGGTGTAATATCACACGCCTTATAGACCAGCGATGGTCTGGTATAGCGAAAGGTGTGGGCACTCAACGCATTATGGGTCGCATCCATTTGGTTCAGATCCAAATCGGGAACGACTACTTGGCCTCCAGTTTCACAATACTAGAGGACCAGCCAATGGACATGCTTTTAGGTCTGGATATGCTTAAGAGACACCAGTGCTCTATTGATCTCAAGCGCAACGTTCTGCTCATCGGCACCACTGGAACCGAAACCTCATTTCTCAACGAAAACGAATTGCCAGAGTTTGCCAAACATAGAGC